CATTGTTTGTCATCATGGTTTCGCCAACTTAGCAATATTGTCAATAATGCAGAAAGCAATTGACGTATTGTTATACAGTAACATTTCTATGAAAAATGGAAAATTTTTTACCTTTGTTTTTATCGATAGTTGATTCAGAATTTATTGCAAATTTTTAAAATACACTGCAATTTTGATACTCACATTATGATGTATCGGATGGAGGTATTTTTGCAATTCTTTTTCCATATTGTTGTTCGAACCCCTTCTAAAGCCAGTTGAGACGCACTTTCTGTAAGCAAAGTAAACCAATTCATAGAAAATATGCACTTTGCGAAAACGGCAACCCTAAAAAAATTATCATAATTTGGAAATTTCGCATACAAATTTCTTCGTACCTAGTATGCAAATAATTAATTTTTCACAGTTAATGAGAGTTCAATTGTGCAATTAGCATCGTATTGAGGAGGGTACAATTGTAGATGGTTTTTTATTCAACTCCTTCTATTAGCTCACACTCTCCCTATATATATCTTGTTCAAATTTTAAATCGTGAACAAAATACTTTTTATTCTTCCATTCAAGTTCAAATACATTTTTTTTGGACGTGTAGTGGATGACACTGGATGTTAATACAGTTTTTTTTCAAATATTAATTCATTAATTAAATTTAATTAATTAATTTTTTTTTAGATTTAAGTTGCATGTATCTAATAATAGATGCCACCAGATGTAAGAGGAAAATTTCAACTTTATTTGTAAAAGGACCTTTCTGCAATATAGTGAAAAAAAGTAGGAATTGACTTTAATTTTTTTTTTATATTACTTGTTTATAGTTAGTTACTCTACAATGCCCTAGAAGTACAACCAATAACATGTTAAAGAATTTAAAAGCAAGATATAATAGCTAACTGGACATCTTCGAAGTCGCTGTCTGGGACGGGAGTCGGAATGTGTGCAGCTGACAGGGGAACAAGTAATATATATATAAAAAAATTAAAGTCAATTCCTACTTATTTTTCACTCTATTGTAGAAAAGTCCTTTATGAATAATTTCCATTCATTTTTTAGAGTTTATCTGGCGCCATCTATTGGTAGATATATGCAACTTAAATCTAAACAAAACTAAAAAATGAATTAATTAATTAAAAAACTAAAATGAATTAAGGAATTAATATTTGAAAAACTGTTTTCACATCCAGTGTCATCCACTACAAGTTCAAAAAAAAAAATGCATTCGAACTTGAGTGGATGAATAAAAAGTATTTCATGAACGATCGAAATTTTGAACAAGATATATATATAGGGAGAGTGTGAGCTAATAGAAGGAGTTGAAAAAAACGAGGATGCGTAAAACTAGCTGGGAAGAGAATCGGTATGCGTGAAACTCGTTGGAGGGAGTCGCAAAGTATAAAATTGGCTAGGAAGGAAGGTGGAATGTGTGAAACAGGCTGGGGAAAGAGTTAGGGCAGGGATGGGCAAACTTTTTCTGTCGCGGGCCAAAAATCAAAAAAAAAAAAAAAGTTTGGCACGTCAAGATAAATTTTTTTAAAATTATAAAAACAATATACAAGTATTACAATTTAAATATGTTAATGAGATGAATGAAATTGCGATTTCATTTTTAAAAGTTCCTTATATTGAGGTTCGAAGTCAGATGTACCGATTCTAAGGAACGAGACTAAATGCTCATCTGTCAGTCTATTTCTGAAATAATTCTTTCTAAGGTTCATAGTTGAAAATATTTGTTCACATATATATAAGATGAAGCAAATGAAGCACTGATTTTCTGGGCGTGAGATATTAAATTTGGAAACTTACTCTTGATAATGATTTGTAAAACTCTAACTTTGGCATATTTAAAAACAACTGCTTGAAATGATTGTTAGATAGCAACTCAATTAATTCAACCTGCAAAAAGCCACTGGCTGGAGCTTAAGATGCGCAATCTGCCACATGTGAGGTCTAATTTACCTATATTAGATTCCCATATGTTTACTCCCCGAAAAAGAGATAGCGCTTGTTGGCGCCAATCTACAATTTCTTGGTGTGAGATATTAAATTTGGGAAACTTACTTTCGATAATGATTTGTAAAGCTCTATGTTTGGCATATTTAGCTTGGCTTAGGCACTTTTAGATTTGGCAAATTTAGCTACTTTGGTTTGCTATTTCCAACGATTTATGTTTTGTGGAACAAAAATAAAGAAATTAAAAAGATCACCAGTCCTTTGAAAAAAATGGAAAGAAAAAAAAAAATATTTAATCAAAGTAGAAAAAGAGATGGATTTATAATATATAAATATATATTTCTTTTTAATTTGCCTTTAATATAATAATAATAACAATGTTGTTGCTTCTTATCCCACTTGGCTGGCCAAGCCCACGAGCCCATACGTACTCATGATTGAAGGGGAAGGAAGCAGCTTCTGTTGTGATGGAGCACCCGTAGGTAGAAGTCTGACTTTGGCTCCGTGACACTCTTACAGTCATAGGAGACAGGGACCTACGGCTTAAAGTGGTTTTCGAACCACTACAAACATCCATGGCACCGCCGGGATTCGAACCCGAAACCTGTGGCACCGAGCGCCAGAGCGCTAGACACTCGGCCATTCAGGTTCCAAATTTGTGAATGCCAACGGCACGCGGTGTTCCCAGGTGATCACCCACCCAAGTACTGACCTCGCCCAATGATGCTTGACTTCGGTGAGTGTGATTCCATTACCCACCTATCCGTGGATGCCTTTCGTTCTGTATCCCCCCTCTTGTAACTTTCATTTTTATTTTCAATAAATCCGTGTTCCCGCCGGTACCCCGAAATCAAGTCACGTAAGTATAAAAGTGCCCCCCCCTCCCCCTACCTCTGCTTCAGCTGTTAATATTATTTCTCTCCACTTAATTTCATTTATATCACTTATTGCACCTATTAGAAAATGGGGATAAAAGCTCTTTGGCTCAGGTGCCCCTTTCCCACCCACCCTCGAATGACTTGACTTCGGTGAACTAACGAGAACCGGTATATTCAGCATGGTATGGCCGTTGGCATAATAATAATAATAATATGGGCTTGCGGAGTTATATTTTTAAGTTCTGTTTTAAAGTTAATTAAAGGCATTGCTCTCTACAAATCAAACTCAGATATCAAAGTAGATTATAAAGAATTATAAAAGAAATCACAAACCAATTAAAATTAAATCATTGCTTTGTATTTCTAAGGTTGAATTTCTCTAATGCGTTTGAAATTCACAGAGATTATCATTGAAATGTGTTTTAATTTGAAGATTATACAGTTTCGAAACTTGCTGTTCTTACCTGACACGTTTTCGAAAACCGAAAATACTTTGTCACTATTTTTCTTCTTCGTCGCCACTTGCGGAATTTTCTGATATTCGACTTTCTGATTTCCGCGTAGCTGAATAAACCTTAAACAATAAGATTAAAAAAATCAAAATTTTGAAGGTTTACTGAATTTCACAGATTTATTTCAGTTCAATTATAAGTATTGAGGTAATTCACATACATTTATAGATGCATGAGTTTAAATAAATTACAGTTTAAAAAACTAAAAAACAAGCTTTTAGAGTTAATCAAACTAAATTCAAAAGTTTTAGCAACTAAATCAAACTAAAAAGATTCCCTGTTCGAATTCTGGCTGGCTCGGCATATTCGCAAGCCTTTGTTTTATAAAATTATAAGAACTAAGTTACAGTCCTCCGTATCAAGACATTTTAAATATTATAGTTAAAAAAACAAGCTTTTAGAGTTAATCAAACTAAAAAGTAAAAAATGATTGTTAACATAAGAATAAAATTTGTAGAAAATGACATTTTAAAAACTGGGGTGCTCGATATCAATCGTTATAAATTTCACTAGTTTCATTCCGAAATGCAGAGTTAGTTTTAAAATGTCATATCGAGCACCCTACGCTTTTAGAACAGTGACATTCATTTTTTCTCGTCAGTAATTTTATTCTTATGTTAACAATCATTTTTTAATTTTTAGTTTGATTAACTCTAAAAGCTTGTTTTTTTTTTAAACTATAATATTTAAATGAGATCTCGGTACGGAGGACTGGAACTATAGTGCTTACAATAATTTAATTGTGAGTAAAACAAAGGCTAAATGCGAATATGTCGAGCCAGCCAGGATTCGAACAGGAAATCTCCTGATCAGACCTAAACAGACCGGTACCTACAGTTTAAAGTGGATTTCGGACCACTACAAACATCCATATCACCGCCGAGAATCGAAACCGAAAGTGTTATCGAGCGCCAGCCACTCGGCCATCAGGTCCTTAGGCCACTGAAGAGATCTGTCATTCCCCTCTTCCCTTCAATGGAAGGACTAGTCAAGGGAGTCATTGGGATCTCTCCCTGACATTGCTTGTTGGGATCAGAACTCAGCTTCTTTTGTACGAAAGTCGAAAGTAAACGAAGGTATACCTAATAACAATATATTACTCAAATCTGACAGAAGATAAGCATGGCTTTGAATATTTATATTACATGCAATTAGTGTTTTGTATAGCAACAAATACTTCCTTTCTATAAGTCATGATCTCTTCTTAATAAGTAGGCAATTTCAGAAGTTAACAAAGGATCAGAAGGGCATTGCTCACCGTCACAAATTCATCCGGTAGGGTTTGATACTTGTAAGCCTCCTTCTCACCAATGGCTTTCCAGATCTCTCGAGATACTATGACTTCTCGGCTTCCGCACAGAGAGGAGGCATGGAAAGATTCTCTGACGGTCTTCCCTACAAGAACGTAGAAGATCATCTTCTGACCAACGAAGAAACAGTCGAACTCCCGCAAGAGATGCCTGTACAAAAGGGCAAAATCAAGTGGTACATCAATATATGGAATATCCCAATTAAAATGTATTCGAATTCCGATTCCACATACAATTTGTCTTTTCACATCAAATTATTCTTAATAAAGACTTAAATATTACTTCAAGGGTGCGCAGTAGATGTACCTCCCCGTGGTGCCCCTGGTAACACTTTTTAGTGGCTAAAAGATCTACAACTTGGCCTTATGTCTTCCTCCAAATATCTCATCAAAAGATCATTTAAAGTCCATGCTCAAGAAGACCTCTATAACCGCGTTTCCCAAAAGTCCTGGAAGAATGCCATCCCAAATCTATGCAATGGTCCAAGGCGTAGAGCAGTCGCTCTTTACCGACTAGCCACTGGACATGACTGTCTGCGAAACCATCTTTACAGACTCAAAATTGTTCCTTCCCCGATATGCAGCTCTGAGAGGCCATGGACTCCACGCATCTACTTCACTGTCCTGCTCTGAACAAGACTTTTTCTCGCCGAGCGATATTGGGAGATATGTTAGATCAATGAACTCTGTTTCAGCATGTTTTGTTGTATTCTCTGTTCTTTTTTTTTTTCGTTGTTCTTTTTATTGCTGTTTTTATTGTTTATTAATCTGCCATTGCTTTTGAAATAAAAAAAAAAAAATATTATTTCAAAAACACTTCTTCTTCTTAACGACTTCGAAAACATAGACTGAAATACCACTAACATCAAAATAAATACAAAGAAAAACTTAAAATTTTAAAGAAAAACTAACGTAAAGAAAATATAATAAAAAAAAACATAAAGAAAAACTAATAAAAATATAAAACATAAAGAAAAAAATTTTCCATTAAAAGAAGTTTGGTTTTTCGCTGTACGGTCATCTTGTGCACACGAGGGCTAATTAGAACGGGACCCTGCTTGTAAATAAAACTTAAAGTGTCCCCACGAACCTGAAAGTATCCCTCTTCTTGAAGCCGTTATAGGCTTAGTATAGGCCGAGACGTTAAATCACCTTTGGATTAACATGATTGTGAAATCGAAACGCCCGACAATGGTAAGCAATAATCTAACTTTAAATTTCTACTAACAAACCAAGAAACGGAACCTATTGCATTCTATGATATATTATAGTATTTCAGAATAGTCTTTTTAAAAGAAATGAATTACGATTTTTCTGTTTATCATACGTATAAAATATATGCATGCACTTAATTTATTAATAGAAATATAGATCTCATATCATAAATAATTGTCTTACTAAAATAAGTAATCCAAAAATTTACCAAGACGGTTCTTTAGATTTCGACCGAACTTTGTTTCTGTACTTCCATACTTTTTCTGTATGTAAAGAGCTGCGTTTAAAATTTTGGGTGCAAGTTCTTCCATTTCTTCTTGTCTTGCTAACCATATACATTGAATGAATCCATCTGAGAAAACACAGTAACTGATGTAATCATAAAAAAGTCATTGAGTTGAATGATATAATACACTACTGGCCATTAAAATTGCTACACCAGGAAGAAATGCAGATCACAAAATTATATTTATTGGACAAATATATCATACTAGAAATAACAAGTGATTAAATTTTCAAGACATTTGGGTCCATAGATCCAGAGAAATCAGTACCCAGAACAACCACCTCTGACAGTAATAACGGCATTTATAACGCCTGGGCATTGAGTCAAACAGAGATTGGATGCCATGTGCAGGTACAGATGTCCATGCAGCTTCAACACGGTGCCACAGCCCATCAACCGTAGTGACTGGAGTATGGTGACAAAGCCAGTCGCTCGGCAACCATGGGCCAGACGTTTTCTATTGGCGAGAGATCTGGTGAACTGTCAGGCCAAGGCAAGAGCCGAACACTTTCCGTATCATGGAAGGTCCGCACAATACCGGCAACATGCGGTCGTGCATTGTCCTGCTGAAACGTAGGGTTTCGTAGGGCTCAAATAAAGGGTAGAGCCACGGATCGTAGCACACCAGAAATGTAATGTGCACTGTTCAATGTGCTGTCAATGCGAACAAGAGGTGATCGAGACGTGTATCCAATAGCACCCCAAACTATAACGCCAGATTTTGATAAATGCACGCTGCCAATGTGCGTTCATCACGATGTCGCCAAACACGGATGCGACCATCTTGATGCAGTAAACAGAATCTGATTCCTCAGAAAAAAATGACGTCTCGCTATTCATGCGCCCAGGTTTGTCATCTTCTTCTTCTTCGCCTATCCTCAAAGTCCAGCGGGGCTAGCCTAGGTCCATGAGTCCAAATACCTGAAGAAAGTCCAAGACCATCAACGGACTTTCAAGCACATCCTGACACCTGGGCCCCAGGTACGCCAAGATGTGAGATGGTGAAGCCTGCTCAGAGGAGCACTTGGTGCAAGTGTCGAAAGCTTTCAAACCATCTGAGAAAGTCATGGTTCTGAGGTGTCCACTGAGCAAACGGGTGATTGCAGTTTGTCCCTGCCTGTCACAATTATGTGCCAAAGTACCGCCAGGCCGATGGCCCCGATACCACTGGTGCACTGGGGGAGTAGACCAAATAGTTTTTCCATTTATCATAGCTTGCGAATAAATCTCTGTGTAGGTAAGGGGCTCAAGTGGAACCAATACCTCACTAGCATCCGCTTTGGCCAATGCATCTACCATTTCATTCCCCTCAAGGTCGACAAGGCAAGGTTTGTCGTTGATCACACCATTGAAAACGCCCCTGTCTGTGACGCAGCGTCATGGGTAACCGCAGCCATGGTCTCCGAGCTGAGAGTCCATGCTGCTGCAAACGTTTTCGAACTGTTCGTGCAGGCACTTGTTGTCGTGCAAACGACCCTAATTCTTGACTCAAGGCTCGTTACGGGGCTGCACGATCCATTAAGACTATGCGGGTAACATG